TCTCATTGTGAGGCAACAGTGCTAACCACTGTCCCACCATGCCGACCCTACTTAACAACTTTTATTGTGTTATTTCTGAGAAGAATAGTTTTCTTGTTCGGTAGAACTGAACAACTTTTATTTTGCAATCATTTTTGTATAACATGAAAATAACTGACTTGGTTTCAGCCTAAAGCTATCCTTATCACATCACTTCTCATGATGCTGCAACGTTGTCATCACATATGACTGTCTCAAACATGGCAAGAAGATTATTATGACTAAAATCATGCTAAAAAATAAAAATCAGTGATATTGGTCAGACAGATGTTACTAGAATTCTCCTACATTGTGAACACTGAAGATGAATCCTGCTGCTGTGTTTTTTTCACCTGAAACAGATCATTTGGTAATGCTTTACACTATACACAGCAACAGAACTTAAAAAACATAATTAAAACAAACTAAAAAATGATTTAAAATAAAAAAATATGATTCACGCTGGTCTGAAAAAAAGGCTGAATCAAATCAGATCATACCTGCTCTCAAAGATTATTGTATTCTATATACTATTTCATTATTGTACACTACTGTGTTAACCTACATGTTTCTTTACTCATGCAGAACACTATGAAGGTCATTCACAATGACATTTTAGAGACAACCGGAAAAGTACTCGGTCAAAAGGGACCAAATCTGGAAAACATCTTCCTCTTGTCGATGATCACTACTTACGATGTGGTACTTTCCAACAAACGGTTTCAAAACTATATAAAATATGGAAGAAGTCCACAGACCATCACAGCTGAGAAAGCAGGTTGATGCATCTGAAACTAAAACTTTCATCTGTTACACAACTTGTGAGGGGAACACATACAATCAAGGATGGCTGCACCTCGTCTCTCTCTGTCTGTTTTGTTGTGCTGATGCTGGCTGTCATCACTCTGAGCGAGAGGTAAGAGGGAGCATGACAATAATACGTTCAGTCAGTGTGTTGACTCAATTAATCTCATTAGTCATACATTTGATATGATGGATATGATTCAGTCTGATTTTATATTTTGTGGAACTGATCGATGTGTTAGTGAAAGAAGGTCTAAGTTGTGATTAAAATTCTGTGAGCCGTAGAAAATACGATCAACAGCGAGTTAGGAGCTCAAATGCATGATGGTCTATATTGCTTGGTTAGTGACCATTGGTTGTACACTAACTTTTTCACAATGTTATTGTGAGGTTACTAGGAGTCCACTATATAGGGTATAATAATTCTAACTAACCATGTGGACAGATTACAAAATGGCGAACTCACTATATATGTGGAGTAGGGAGTAGTGAGTGATCTTCAGACAGCAGCCACAGACAGTCATAATAGAAGCTAAACAACAAATGCGAAGGTTTGTTTATGGCCTGAACTCTTGGAGTGTTTGGTGAAGGTTTAGGAAAACAAGAGGAACACGGAGAGAGAAAAAATCTCCCTCACATCTGTTATCAAAATGGTTCATTTTAGAATGTTAAATGGTTTCCTTTTCTTAAATTGAACCAGCCCTTATTTAATCCTGTCAGCAGAGCAAACACATTGTCAAAGAGATTTCCCATATCACAGTGGAAAAAACTGAGCAACACAATCTCTTCTACAAAGAAAACAAAGAAGACATCAGAATGTCAGCGTCATGCAGGCAGACAGGAAATTAAAAAAGGGAAAAAAGAAGGCAGACGCAGATGGTTATATTCACAGCTCTTTGTTTGTAGGTCTGCGTGGTACCGGCCCCAAAGAAGTGCTGGCTTCCGCTTCAGTGAGAAAAGCAGTGCCAAAAGAAAGAGTGGTCAGCTACGTCAGGACCAGCCAGCGGTGCCCACAACCTGCCGTCTTGTGAGTAGAAAGAAAAATACATAACCTAACATCACCATCAACATCTGCACATGGAAGCACTGTACCTGACTGTCTTGTTTGTGTGTGTGTGTGTGTGTTCTATGTGTGTGTGTGTGTGTGTGTGTGTATGTTTCAGGTTGAAGAACAGTGGCAAGGTCGTCAGATGTGTGGCAAAACCTTCAGCCCCTGGGTGAAAGGAGCCTCATTAGCTACCTGGATGCCAAAATACATCCCAGGAGAGACATCTAACCTGTAATCCATGGCAATGCCATACCCACTATAAGAGTCTTCCATGAACAAAAATCTGGCCAGTTTAATGTGTTTTTGATGCTGCGACTTTTTCACACCTTTATCTTTAAATATTGTTTTTATACAAATACAGTATGTTACTATCTACTTATATTATTCTATCTAAAATTTGGTAGTATTTTGAGATGCTGGGACAAGAATGCATTTGCAAAATACCATGTTAAATTATTTTTTCTATCCATTCACAAAAAATTCTATGTTTAGACATAGTGCACGTTGCCATTCTTTTAATACTGGCATTTAAACCATATTTTATTTTTATAATCTGGAACAATAGGAATATTTTTGTTTTCATAACAACAACTCAAAGTCTGACCATCAGCACTGTGAAATATGTTGGCATTGTCATTTGAACTGAGTAAGACCAATGTCTCCCAGCTCCACTTGGTGTCATAAGTAGAGTATAAGCTATGGCTAAAAACCACTATTTCTATAGACGAACCACTGTGAGCTCTTTGCTTTGTTTTTTTTTTTTATATAAAGTAATGATTTTTTTGTTGTTTTTCTACTTTAAAACTCAAGTTACTTGTAACAGATACAGTAAACCCAGTTTGACAAAAAATTATTTATTTTGTATGCTTATGCTACAAGTCTGATTCTGTTGAATTAAAGCAAGACAAAG